AAAAAAAAATAAGACAAATATGACAAAAGGTCTAGGAGATACATTGTAGAAATGGAAAGGCAAAAGTGAGGTCACGTGGACTTCTACTCTCTTCTCTACAAAGACTGGGAGAAAACTGGCATCCAACATTTTCAAAACTGTCAATTAATAAGAGGCTTTCAGTGGTCTAGGAAGCAACTTAATTACTAAGAATATCTAACTCTTTGTAAGAGTGATACTTGTGGCATTATAGTTTTCTAGATTTCCTGGCCCAACTTCTCAAGCTTAGGCGAAACACTATAAAACAAGAACAGTCAATCACCAGAAGCAGAATGGAGTTTCAAACTTTGGTGCCTCATTCTCAGAGAGCTGTTACTATTTTTCATATTTGAAAGTTCTCTGGGAAAATGCAATGGCACAGATCCTTTTATTTAATGTAGCTTGTAACTCAACCATTTCAAAAAGCTCTTTACCTCTAGACATTATTTATAGATCTATTTTTTAGTTTGACAACTACCTGAGGCAATGTATAACAAATAATAGACTTTTATTAATTCTTAGAAGGAAAAATCAATGGATTTGCCTGTTCATAGGGACTGAAAAGCCTTCATATTCTCCTAGACTTCTAGATGTTCACAAGATGTACACGATTGTGAGTATACCATGTGGTGTGGACTAAAATGTATCATTTAGAAATTCATATTGATGTCATAAACCCTAATAACTCAAAACATGATTTTAATTGAAACCTGAAGAATTAGTAAGACATGAGATCATATTGGAAGTCACTCATACAATGGCTGATTATCTTTAAAAAAAACAAGAAGAGGACACACACACAAAGACCCAGTAAAGAGACAGAGAGAAGTTGCTATATTTAAGCTCAGGAGATAGGCTCTTTGAAAAGCCAACTCTAGTGGTCCCTTGAGTTTGAAGTTATTTTAGTTAGATTTTTATTGCTATTATAAGGCACCATGCCAAAAGCAACTTGGGGAGAAAAAGATTTATTTTAATTTATGGTTTATAATCCAGGAAACTCAGGCCAAAACCTCAAGGCAGAAACATGGAGGCAAGAACTAATGGGTTGTGCTGCGTACTGGCCTGCTCTCAATGGCTTGTTCATTCAACAAGAAAATACACCCACAGACTTGCCTACAGGCAAGCCAATAGAGGCATTTTCTCAACTATGATTCTCTCTTCCCAGATATGTCCAGTTTTCTGTTAAGTTCAAAAACAAACAAACAAATAAAAACAACACAGAGTTCTAGTTTTCATGAAAGTAGGAAAATTAATTTCTTTTTAAAATACCCTGTCAGTAGTACTTCATTATAGCCACCCTACCAGCAAATATGCTAAAGCTTATGTTTGCTCAGAAAACACCTTTTCAAGCCTATTTGGCTTGTGAATATATCTCCCAATACTTGGCAACTTAATCTAGAATTTATGAACACCCTTTCCATGATAAACAAGAAGATATCCCTATGATAACAAAGATGATTCATGGAGGTATTGCAAATTTAGTCCAGAGAATCAGTCTTACAAAATACAGTAGCAAAGTCTGGGTGGCCGGAGAGTGTTTATTTCTAAAATTGTCACACTATACCAATTCGCTGTCTAGTTTTCATTACAATATTATGAAGCATGTAAATAAACAGAAGAGCATAAACAAAAAACTCGGTGGGGAAGCAAAGTTCTAGTGATCACTAAGTAAAACCTTTAAATTAGTTAAGTAAGACACGTTAAAATAAGAAGAAACTGTGTTCTACGTATAAAATAAAGAAACATCACAAAATATAACCAAATAGAAAACATTATCATATATAGTAATTATAAAAGAAAAGAACTAAGGCAGAGAAATTCTAAGGTAGGAAAGTAGAACAACTGAAGAATTTACTGGAAGGCTGGCATTCACTCTCTGGAAGTCATAGGAAATGACTGCAAAGGACACCAAGAAAATTCTCAACATTCTAAGAGACAATTGTGAAGTCAGTGCTCAATACTCAAAAACAGATGCTGTTTGGTCCTGACACTTCTCCGGAGAACAAGAAGTTTTATTCCACAGCTCTTGTGGATTCCACCTGTTGTCCACAGGCCTTGGCAATAGAACTACACGCGAACACCTGCCTCCATTTCAAATGGCCTTTGTTTTTCTGTCTCTCGTGAGGTCTACGTCCTCATCCTTTCATTTATAAAGAAGCCTCTTGTTGCACCAATAGCTGACCTATGTTAACTCCATCACAGCAAGATTTGAGGGACACTTTTTAAAGTATTTTCTTTTCTTAAAAACATATTCTTTTCTATTTTTTTTTAATTATAGGAAAGCAGCATCATTGACTTATCCAGGTAAACTAATAGACAGCAGAAGGAAATACCTTATGATCTTATATCAAGAAGGATATTTATCAAAGGTAACTGTACATAAAGAGAATGACAGTAATGTAGCAGTGTGTAGCTATGAGAGTTCCAACACTGCATCTGATCTGTGTTCTTATGATTAGAACATAAACAAATGTTGCTTGCTGCAAGATCAGAATGGTCAAAACCAGAGAATAAAATTCTAGAAACTTGAGGAGGTAGCAGCTTTTTTATTATTATTATGGATTATTTTTTGCATTATGAAAAATTTCTACATGGTCTCAAAAACAGAATAAAGTTGAGAAATGGTAACCAGAGATAAGGATCATAAAAAAGTAATCTAGAGTGGATATAAAAGGAAAAGAACAGCTTGCAGTTGCAGAAAAAGAAAGAACAGCATAAGAAAAGACCCTGAGAAGGGAAGAGACTAGAAAGCACAGAACAAGGTGAAAACACAGGCAATTACAGGCACTGTTTGTAGTGATACAGTGTTTCCATAAACATCAATTGTCCCTGCTATTGCATTTTAGAGTTAAACAGTGAAACACCACATACTTCTATGTGGTGCACACTTGGTGACGGCCCTAAAGGCTCTTCATTCCTATTTGGTGGTGTTCTGGCAGGTGAAATACAAGATATTTAATAATTTCACTGTTATATGACCAGGCAATAAACAAATGGTTCAAAGTTTGGCAATGCTCCCAGGGCTCAGGTTTTTTGAGGGGTCTGTTGATTTTTCTTGTGAAGCTCCTGTCCTCTCCAGATCTATCTCCCCCTTCTTTCATAAGATTCCCTGCACTCTGCCCAAAGTTTGGCTATGAGTCTCAGCATCTGCTTCTATACCTCGATCAGTAGAGTCTTTCAGAGGCCATCTGTGGTAGGCTCCTGTCCTGTTCCCTATCTTCTCCTGCTTCCAATATTTATCACATTTGTTCTTCTGAATGAGGAATGTATTATGTGGCTAATATCTACTTATGAGTGAGTAATACCATGTGTGTCCTTTTGCTTCTGGGTTACCTCACTCAAGATGATTTTTTTTCTAGTTCCCACCATTTGCCTGCAAGTTTCATGATTTCCTTGTCTTTTAATAGCTAAGTAGTATTATATTGTGTATAATGTATTATATAGCTAAGTAGTATTATATTGTGTATAAATGTACCACGATTTCTGTATTCATTCCTCCACTGAGGGACATCTAGGTTGTTTTCAGCTTCTGGCTATTATGAATAGAGCTGCTATGAACATGGTTGAACAAATGTCCTTGCTGTATAGTTGAGCATACTTTGGACATATGCCTAAGAGTGGTATAACTGGATCTTGAGGACGCATTATTCCTAATTTCCTGAGAAAGCACCAGATTGATTTCCAAAGTGGTTGTACAAGTTTACATTCCCACCACTTATGGAGGATAGTTCCCCCACAACCAAAGACAATGCATGGAGGAGACCTAAAACCATGGCGCACAAGTAGCCCATAGACTCAGTATCCAAGTGAGGTCCCTAGTAAGGGAAGCAGGGACTTTCTCTGGCATGAACTCAGTGACAGACTCTCCAATAACCTCTTCCTGGGGGGGTGCATCCTTGCCAGGCCACAGAGGAAGACAATGCAACCAGTCCTGATGAGACCTGGTAGGCTAGGGTCAATTATCACCAACCCTCTATCTGACAGAGAACTAATATCCAGAACATATAAAGAACTCAAGAAGTTAACCAGCAGCAAAACAAGTAATCCAATTTTAGAAAAGGGGTACAGACCTAAACAGAGAATTCTCAATAGAGGAATATCAAGTGGCAGAGAAACACTTAAAGAAATGCTCAATGTATTTAGTCATCAGGGAAATGAAAATCAAAACGACCCTGACATTTCACCTTACACCCATCAGAATGGCTAAGATCAAAAACTCAAGGGACAACACATGCTGGAGAGGATGTGGAGAAAGGGGAACCCTCCTCCATTGCTGGTGGGAATGTAAACTTGTACAACCACTTTGGAAATCAATCTGGAGCTTTCTCAGGAAATTAGGAATAGTGCTACCTCAAGATCCAGCTATACCACTCCTAGGCATATATCCAAAATATGCTCAAGTACACAACAAGGACATTTGCTCAACCATGTTTGTAGCAGCTTTATTCAAAATAGAAAGAATCTGGAAACAACTTAGATTGTTTCCAGAATCTGGAAACAACTTAGCCCTTCAACTAAGGAATGGATACAGAAATTTACACATTTACTCAGCATTAAAAACAAGGAAATCATGAAATTTGCAGAAATGAATGGAAATAGAAAAGATCATCCGGACTGAGGTAACCCAGAAGTAGAAAGACACACATGGTGTATTCTCACTTATAAGTGGATATGAGAGATATAACATAGGACAAACAAACTAAAATCTGTACTCCTAAAGAGTAAACAGATTTTGAATGGCTAACGATTTGGAAATAGATTTTGTTCCCTGGTTTACTACAACATAATGCCACTCCTAGCAAATGAAAGTTTAAAAACTAGCATTAATCACATATCCATAAATATCTATCTCATAATGTTCATGGTATGGTATTAATTTCTTTGTGTGCTGTGCCAGAAGTACACTTGCTTCACATTTTTATTTATCTAGGAAGCAATGTTTGGTTGTGTTGTAAAGTCTCTTGCTTTATTTTCATTCACAGTTTGGTTGCCACGAAGGAAACAAACAGTGCAAGATCCCGAAGTGCTCCTATGTCACCTTCTGATTTTCTGGACAAGCTAATGGGGAGGACATCAGGATACGATGCAAGAATCAGGCCCAACTTTAAAGGTAGCTGTTCTTCTTACTTCCTCAAGTACAGTGGGCTTAAAGAAGATAAGCTCTAAAACCAGTTCTACCAGAAATTGTAATGCTTATTCCCAAGAGTCTTTAAATACTTTATTAATAAGAGTTGTGTCTGCAAAAGGAAAGCCTTTTTTTTAATGTTCAGAGCTAGCATAATGTGCCTTCTGTGGACAAACAGTATTCTTCTTTAATAGTTATTTGTTTGGTTTTGATCTTCAGAAACAAGACCTTGTAGTGTATTCTTGACTGACTGGATATTCTAGTCATGAAGCTCAAGTCAGCATCAAGTTCAGACAGTTCTCCTGCCTCGGCCTCAATAACGTGTAAAGCACCATGCCTGAGTTCTAAATAGATTTATTTCTTTTTTGTTGATGTTGTTTTCTTTTGTTTTGTTTGAGATTATTTTTATTAATGACAATTTATTCACTTTATATTCCCCTGTAGCTCCCTACTTCCTCCCCTCCCTATCCCACCCTTCCTCCCCCATCTCCACCCATGTCCCTCCACCTGTCCACTAATAGGGGTGGTCTTCCTCCCCTTCCTTCTGATCCTAGTCTATCAGATCTCATCAGAAGTAGCTGCATTGTCTTTCTCTGTGTCCTGGTAAAGCTGCTTCCCCCTCAGGGGGAGGAGATTTTTTTATTAATTACACTTTATTCTCTTTGTAGCCCACCTGTATCTCCCTCTCCCTTCCCCTTCCAAACTCAACCTCTTTCTCTCTGGCTCACCCATACCCCTTCCCAAGTCGACTGATAAGGGAGGTCTTCCTCCCCTTTCTTCTGATCCCAGTCTATCAGGTCTCATCAGGAGTAGCTGCATTGTCTTCCTCTGTGACCTGGAATGACTGCAACCCTCTAGGGGTAGGTGATCAAAGACCAGGCCAATCAGTTCATGTCAGAGACAGTCCCTGTTCTCATTATTATGTAACCCACTTGGACACTGACCTGCCATGGGCTACATTGGTGCAGGGGTTCGAGGTTATCTCCTTGAATGATCCTTGGTTGGAATATCAGTCTCAGAAAAGACCCCTGTATCCAAATTTTTTGGTTCTCTAGGTCTCCTTGTTTAGCTCCTGTCCTTTCCAGGTTTTACTCTTTCCCACTTCTTTCATAAGTTTCCCTGCACTCTGCTGGAAGTTTGGCTATTATTGGTCTCAGCATCTGCTTTGATACCCTGCAGGGTAGAGACTTTCAGAGGACCTCTGTGGTAGGCTCATGTCCTACTCCCTGTTTTCTCCCTCTTCTGCTGTCCATCTTCTTTGCCTTTCTGAATGAGGATTGAGCCTCTTAGCCAGAGTCCTTCTTCTTGAGTAGTGCCTGTAGGTGTACAGAATTTAGCATGTTTATCCTAAATTATATGTCTAATATCCACTTATGAATGAGTATATACCCTGTGTGTCTTTCTGTTTCTGGGATACCTCACTCAGGATGATCTTTTCCAGTTCCACCATTTGCCTGCAAATTTCATGATTTCCTTGATTTGACTTGCTGAGTAGTATTCCATTGTCTAAATGTACCACAATTTCTGTATCCATTCCTCAACTGACAGGCATCTGGGTTGTTTCCAGCTTCTGGCTACTACAAATAAAGCTGCTACAAACATGGTTGAGCAATTAACATTTTATTGTGTATCTCTTATACAAATGCCTGGAATAAAAAGTTAAAATCTTGTTAAATAAAATTTTGAGTTCTCCATCTCTAACTCTGTTTCTCAAACTCAGGACTTTGCATATGGTAAGCAATTGTTGCACAGCCCCTTCTTTTTCCTGAACATTAGTAAAGAAAACCTTTTTATAATATAAAAATTTAACTTACATTAATTATGGAAGCTAGAAGCAGAAAGACACATATGGTATATACTCACTTACAAGTGGATTTTGGCCACCTAATATAGGATTAACTTACTAAAATCTATAGTCCTAAAAAAGCTAAATGACAAGGAGGACCTTAGGGAAGATGCTTAATCCTCATTCAGAAGGGCAAACAGGATAGACATGGGAACAGAGGAAAAACAAGGAACAGGACAAAGAACCTACCACAGAGGGCCTCTGAAAGACTCTACCCATCAAGGTATTGAAGAAAATGCTGAGACCCATAGCCAGATTTTGTGCAGAATGCAGACAACCTTATTGAAGAAGAGGAGATAGAAAGACCTGAAGGGGACAGGATCTCTACAAGGACACCAATAGAGCCAAAAAATCTGGGCTCAGAAGTCCCTCCAGAGACTGATAAATCAACCAAGGACCATGGATGGAGAGAACCTGGACCTCCTCCTCAGATGTAGGCTAGGGAAGCTCAGTCTTTATGGGGTTCCCCAGTAAGGGAAGCAGGACCTACCTCTGACATGAACTGGGTTGCCTGCTCTTTGATCACCTCCCCTTAGCGAGGTTGTGTTATTAGGTCACAGAAAAAGAGGATCCAGACAGTCCTGATGAGACTTGATAGCTTAGGATCATATAGTAGTGGAAGAGGACCTCCCATATCAGTGGACTAAGAGAGGGGCAGAGTGGGATGGGAGAGACAAAGAGAAGTTGGGCCCTGGGAGGAGATGAGGAAGGAGGCTACAGCTGGGATACAAAGGGAATAAATTGTAATTAATAATAATGATAATGATGATGATGATGATGATGATGATGATGATGATGATGATGATAAAGATTTTTAATAGATCTTAGTAATTTAAAAATTATGGAAGGCAATAAAAATTAGAGACTGGGGAGATGCTTCAGCAGTAAAAGCAGGGACTGCTTTTTCAAAGAACCAGGGTTCAATACCCAGCACCCTCTTGGCTGCTCCCCGCTGTCTATAACTCCAGTGGTAGGGAATCCAATGCTTTCTTTCCTCTGAGGGTGCTACATTCATCTGGTGCACAAACACATGCTTAGGCAAATGCTCATTCACGCAAATGAAAGTTATTTAATAAAAATCTTGAACAACATTAAAATTATTAGATTAGTTAACAACAAAAATGAGTAAAAGAGACAAAGGTAGAAGTAAAATTTATTAGATTGCTTCAACATAAAAGGTATTCCACATTTAATAATAGATTGTATCTTCTGATTATTTTAAGCTTTTAATTATAAATATTTTAATTTAATGGAGGGAAATGTGTATAAGTAGCTCTGAAAGTTTCATACAGTTTGTAGAGATACCACATGTAAATTAGAGCAAAAATTGTGACCATAAGATTCATCTTAAGTGGAGTAAACACTGAGAATTAATGTTGAATTTACACTAAAAACACAGGCAGTTGTATAGGGTGAAGAAATGCAATCAGTATTTAGTGAATCTGCTTCATTTTCACTGAAAATTACTGAAAAAAAATCTATTCTATTTTTAGATGTTTGATATTTTAAAAAAACATATAAACAGCCTAAACAGATATCTTAATAAAAATGCAGATAACTTATTAACCATACAATAGTGTTCCTCTTACTTTTGCCAGGCCCTTAGATGGTTTAGTTCTGGTTTATTATTTCACTGGTTTACAGAAGAAATTTCAAATCATTTAAACTAAAGAAATTTCAAATCATTTAAACTAAAAATTGATAACTACAATTTATGTGGAAAATCATAAATGATAGAAATTATTTGCAAATAAAAATTGCATTCATATAGTACTTGCTGGTAGACAAGCCAGTTTCAGAAATGACTGGATTTATTTACCTCTGAGATGAGATTCTACTGTTCTAATATGCTCAAAGAAGAAGAAAGATTTTCTTTTCATTTTTCTTCAAGGCATTTTATACTTCAATATTTTTTAAAAAATTAAATGTGTGCTGCATTTTATTGATTAAAATATGATATGTTACGAAATTAATTCAGTAATTAATTTATAGTTACTTTTCTTGCTTTCTCATAATATAAATATAATTGAAATATATTTATATGTACATACATACATACACACCAACATATATATATAATATATATATATATATTATATATATATATATAAACTAAGTCTTAGGTTTCCATAAAAGGGTTTTATGTATTTTTTTCTTTTTATTTTAGAGATAGTGTGTGACTATGCAGTTCAAGCTGGACCAGAACTGACTAATACTATGTAACTCAGACTGGTCTCAAACTAATCCACCTGCCTCAGCCTCCTAAATGCTTGGATCACTAGTGTTTACTATTTGTAACTGGAGTTTAGGTTTCATTTCTTGTACTTTTTCTATTTCCTCAGATGTGAGGATGAGATGAAAGCTATTCCCAAACTTTTCTACCTCATTCTGAACTCTCACTGGCTTGTTCGAATAAGCTGTTCTAGTCTAAACACCTTTCCAAACTGACTGATTCAAACTTCTTTTGGCTTCTGACTGAATTGCTCTGCCTGGCCTCAAACTAATTCTGGCAATATGTTTTAATCTTCTGGATCATTCTTATTATCTGGCTGTTTCTATCATCACCTGTGTCCAGCTTGTTCTCTCTGCAACCAGTTTCTGTAAAACCATCACATTAATAAATTCTCTGTTAAAAACAAAACAAAACAACCAAATAAACAAACCTTTCTCTTTCTCTCCCTTCCCCCTCTCTCTCTGTCTCTGTCTCTGTCTCTCTCTCTCTCTCTCTCTCTCTCTCTCTCTGCACTGCTCTTAAGTAGCCTTTCTTTGCTGTCTTTTTCTAGTAAGATTTGGATGTATCCTATCTCTGACACATTTTGTCAAATCTTCCTCTGATTTTTCACTTCATATGCCCCTCTATTAGGCATCACTTTCAAACATGGCTGCTTCATTCTATACACTATCCTTATCTTCATTGTTTATGATTAAAAGTGTGTACCGAGGGCATATTTTGTCTGTATTCCCATACAGATCATACTGTAATCCAGAGGATGTTTGGATTCCAGTTGGACCACATACACCAGAAGGCCTTCGGATGTGGTCCCTTGCCAGAGCAGCTAGGTTGCTGGATTAAAATTTCTCTTCAATTTCTATGATTTTTACACAACAGAAGCAACAAGAAAAAATTAATAAATTAAAT